AGGGACCACTATGCATTACCTCTTATGTCTGATCTCCTGGACCACCTCCAAAGGGCACACATTTCTACAATTTGATCAGAATGATAGAGGGACATGAACACTTGATTGCATTTGATACCAAGTATGTCAAATTTGAATACATAGTGATGTGTTTTGGCTTGGTTAATTGTAAGGCAGTCTTCTCAAGATTCATGAATATGGTATTTTCTGACATTTTAGACAAGTATGTAGTGGTATACTTGGATAACATACTTTTTCTTGAGGATCCTTCCTTGTTTGAGATGCATGTCAGAAACGTTTTGAAGAGGCTCCACGAACACAAACCTTTTGCTAAGCTGGAGAAATGTGCATTTAACCTACTTCAATTGGACTATTTGGGTTATAGGGTCTCTACTTAAGGCCTACAGATGGACCCTGGAAAGTACAGTCCATACTTTTATGGCAACCACCTTATAATGTAAAGGATATACAGCATTTTCTGGGCTTTGCTAACTTCTGCCAGAAGTTCATCCCTAATTTTGCAGATCGCATAAAGCCACTTTTTCAAATCTTAAAGAAAGGTCATGAGTTCATATGGTCTACTGAAGAGCAGATGACATTTCAAGAATTAGAGCTTTTCAGTTCATAGCCACTGTTCTGGCACCCAGACCCCACCCCCCAGTTCATTGTGCAGACTGACACTTCAGATGTAGCAGTAGGAACAGTTGTCCAGGCAGAGAAGAAAGAAGGGGATGGATCTCCTGCTATGTGCATTTTACTCCAGTTTGCTTCTACCAACAGAATGGAACTATGACATCTTCAGTAAGGAATTACTTGTGGTAAAAACAGCTTTCCAACAATGGACACACTTTTGGGAAGATGCTGCCCACCCAATACAGGTATGCACAGACTACAAGAACTTAGAAGTCCTGCAGAAGGCACACTCTCTCACTCATTGACAAATCAGGTGGGCGCAGTTTTTCTCCTGTTTTGATCTTCATATCTTCTACATTCCTAGCTCACAGAATAAACTTCCAGATGCCCTGTCGTGGAAGTCTGAATATGACCTTCCCTACCCATCTCCCCAGTCACCATACTGCAGTCGGGCAACTTTGAATCTCCCCAGAGGCTATATCCTCCATAGAGGCTGGGAGAGCGGAGGCAGGCTGTTAAAGCTCATCCACAGTATGATGCTTATGCCAAAGCTCAGATGAATGACCTCCAGGGAGTCCTGCAAGATGATTTTCCACCTTTCAATGCTGGGGAGGGGCAGCTGTTGCCCAAAAACTGTTTATATGTTCCTCTTCTTTTAAGGGAAGATGTATTTCAACTCTGTCATGACAATAAGACAGCTGGCCATGGAATGTTTAAAACTCCGCATCGGGTCCTTAGGGACTTCTGATGGTTGTGAATGAGAGCAGACTTCAGGGATTATGTTTCATCTTCTCAAAACCAGCTGGCTTGCTGCAACCTCAAAGCTCCCCTTTCCGACTTTGGGACATAGTATCACTGGATTTTATTACTGATCTCCCCTGGTACAGGAGTGGACCAGCATTCTGGTAGTAGTGGATTTGTTTTACAAAGTTGGCCCATTTCATTCCTTACAAGGGCCTCCTGGGAGCTCAGGAAACAGAGGCCTGGCCAATTATCTGATTGCAGATCACAGTTAATCTGTCATCTCATCATCCAACATCAAATGGAGAATCTAATAGAAATACAGCAATATTTCAGATGCTGTGTCTTTTATCAACAAGACAATTGGCCTGAGCTGCTGCCACTTGCAGAACCTGCCCACAATTCAATACATTCCTCCATTGGCATTTGTCTGATTTGGGTGACTTATGGCTACCACCCCCATGTTTTGCCCTCCAGGACTCCTGGATTGGCAGTTCCTTTTGTGCAGGAGAGTCAAGCTGCTCTGTGCCTCTTAATGGAACAGCTGGATCTGGCAAAGGTGACATACATGTGGGGCGCAGATACAGACAAGAGGATGCTAAAATTGCTGGAGGGAATTTGGGGTGGCTTTCTACAGAGTTTTTGCCTTCCACCCAATCCTCCAATAAGCCAGACTTAAACTTTATTGTCCCCTTCCCAGTGGTTTGGCAAATGCATCTAGTGGCCTTTTGTTTGCAGTTGTCAGCATCAATGAAGATTCATCCCGTTTTCCATCATTCATTGCTTGTGCAAGGAGCTTCTGAACTAGAACAGCTCCCCCTCTCCCTCTTCTGGTGGATGGACTCTAGATGCAAGGGGAAACATTTGGAGTACCTGATTCAGTGGAAAGCCTACCCAGACTCAGTGAGATTGTGGGAGAATGCAACAGTTGTGCATACCCCACAACTTGTACACTAATTTAATCTGCAATGCCCAGGGAAATACCTTCTACATGAACTGCCACAGCTACATGGGACTTGGATGTCCCAGGATGAACAAGATTCTGAGTTTTCCAAAGTGGAAGGGGCACAGAGCACAGCAGGGTGTGAAGAGGAAACTTTCTCAGTCTCCATTTACTTTGGGGCCTGTAGAAAGTAAGGAAGATGACCTTGACAGAGATATACAAGGTCTGTTTCTAAGGTGACAAGGAATAAAGCTTTTTTAAAATTCAGAATGTCCAGATAATGTTCAGAAGCAGCTCAGACAGGCACCTCCCTAATTCATTGAACAACAACAGCAACAACAACAACAACAACGAGGAGGAGGAGGAACACAATCAGTCTTGGAAGATTCTGTTATTATAGCCAATCTGAATAAAAGTAGTTTCAGCCTTCCTGTGGAGTTGATTTCTTGGCCTGCCTGGTGGGCTGACAAGGCTGCAAGACTGGCAGGTAGGATGTAGGAGCAGCCAGAAAGAGATGATTAAAACTCAGTTTGAATAGCAGGAAGTGGCGGGGGGGGGGGGAGTAACGTCTCATTATACAGCTGTATTACAGGACTTGTTGAGTGATCTAGAGGAGTTGCCAGCAGAGGAGGAGAGCAGCACATCTACACTTTGTTCCAGTTCCCTGACTCAGAGTTTTCTGGGCATGCATGAGGCTAATGGGAGAGGTGTGTAGAGAGTGAGGAAGATGACCTTGACAGAAGAATGCAAGAACTGTTATCTAGGCAAAGGGGCTGAAGCATTTTTTAAGTCCATAAAAATGAGATAAGGTTAAGAAGCAGCTCAGGCAGACACCTCCCTAATGTCAGGTTCGGTCAGCACGGGGCTTCGGGGAAGCTCGCAGCCAGACCACGCGAACTCCACCGGCGGCAGCTAGCGAGGGAAAGAGGAACTGAAAGCGCCGCT